CAAGTTGGCCGAGAGACTGAAGAGCTGAGAGGAGCAGAGTACTAAGGGGCTTGCTTGCAGAGAGGTAGGTCAGGGGTCCGAGTTTCCCTTTGCAGCCATCAGAGGTCTTCAAGGAGAGAGAAGACACCGCTGCTTTTGAGGTTTGTGGCTCTGACAGCAGAGTGGAGGAGGCTGCAGAGGGAAGAAATTCTGGACCTGTTGGGGATTTGCCCCCATATGTAGAGGTTACCAGGCCCTGACCTTGGGGCAGTGGGAATGGCACTGAGGCACCATTTCTGGGAGAATATTGAGAACTGCCTGGGCTGTGAGCCCAGAAAACCTGGGTTCAAAACTCTGCTACTTACTAGCTTGTGAGACTGCAATGTCTGTGTCTTAGTTCCGTGCGCAATACAATGGGGGTGCATGACTCCTACTGCACAGGCTGCAAGCACTTACTGTGATCTTGTAAAGCTCTGCATATATTAATTTTCAGCCTTTCTACCCTGTGAACTGCCTGGTGAATTAGGTGCTGTAATCACCATTTGAGAAATGAAGAGACTGACATTCAAGCTTACAGAACTTGCCTGAGGACACATTGGATTCAGAGTGACAGAGTAGCCCACACTGATAGCCATTCTGCTTAAAATACCTGGGATAGTGAGTAATTAATAGAGGACGGAAAAGCGACAGCTCTTTGAAGTGATGTCAGCTGAGGAGATGTCATGTGTGATAATGTTCCAGACTTCTTGTGAGGAAAGGGACAGAGCCTGGCTTCCTTGGCCTAAGGAGAGGATGGAGGTCAGTGTGTCTGGAGCAGAGTGAGCTGAGGGGCAAGAAGCAGGGGGTAAGAACCAGAGAGTGAGAGGGAAGCGGACAAACATTGGGCAGGGCCTTAGGGGTTGTGGAAAGGGCTGAGATTTTATCCTAAGAGTGGGAAGCCACTGGAGATATTGTAACGGTAACGGCGTGATCTGTTGGAATGCCTGAAAGAATCACTGGCAGCATGCAGAAGAGATTATCGACCTTTGGAAAATTTCTTCCGTAGTCCACTGAAAAGATGCTGATGACAGGCTATGGTGGTGGCCTGTTTAACGGGGAGAAGTGGACAGCGGTCTCAGGGTAGAGCTGATCAGACCTGTCAGTGGCCTGGTGTGCTAGGGAAAGAGGAGTCACGGATGATACCTGGGGTTTTGGTTGGTGCTACTGGCGTGAAGCACTTGTCTTTTATCCCAAAGAGGGAAGGTTTTCTAGGAGCAGGCAACAGGGCAGGGTGGAAAGCAATGGTTTCTTGGACATGCTTGTTCAGTTTGTGATTTAAGAATCCAGATGGCAGTGTCTAGTAGGCAGTTGGATATGTGAGTGTAGACAGAGCTCGGGAGCCATCTGGGCCAGAGAGAGAAATGTGGGAGTTACTGGCATGTAGACTTTTGGGAGTATGGGAAAAGGGAGACAGCCAGGGTGGTACAAAGGTGACATGCTCTGCTGTACCACAGAAGTTGTGTTACTGGGCCCAGTCCTCAAAGTAGGGATAGCAGCACCAAAGTATCTTCTGCAAAGAATATGTTTGTTCCTGTTCAGGGGCTGGTTCCAGGCAGAGGGTCTTCATTCTGCATCTGACTTTAGTGGTTCAGCGAACATGGGCTCACCTGTCCGTGTGCTTAAACCCAATCCTTCCTCATATGCTGGCCTACATGTGGGTCTAGGCTACCCACTAATTAGAAGATTGGGGTGACTTGAATCCTGAAAAAGATTTGGGGCTTACACACAATAAAATCTATCCTTTCAAAGTAGTTCAGAGTCCATGGTGGTCAAGTACAATTTTAAAACCTCATTAGTTTGAAGTATATAAGATTTAAATTGATATTTAGAGTTTATTTTGTAAAAAAAAAAAAAAAAGTGGAAAGAAAATTCACTCAATAGGAACATATTTCTGCAAACGATTTTATTTTCTTTTGTAAATCAGGCTTTCTGTTGTAAATCAACATTGGATTAATGTCTACCATGTTCTCCTCCTCCTTGCATTTGGGCAAGCTGCATATATTAATTTGTAGATGGGGGGGATGATTGTGAACTTATGCTTTAATAATGTTCAGAAACATACATACTATATCACAAAAATTATTTCATTTTCTCTGTTGCCACAACATTCCATACTCTGTCCCTGTTGCTAAGGACTTTGGAATGTCCCAGTGCAAAAAAGGATGTAGAACTCCTTTTTTTTTCTTTCTTGAAGACATTTTATATAAATTATTTTGTGTCCTCTAGCTTACTTCCAAATATGGATACCTGAAAGTTAAGAATTTAGAAAGCTAAAATTAAATTACTTTAGATTTTCATGACAGGAACTTGGTTTCATGAACTAGATTAAAGTATACTATGCTTCCCTCCATGGGGGTGTATGTGCGTGTGCCTGTGCACACATGCAGACTCTTCTCAGAGATGCTCCCTGCTGTGAGATTGAGAACTGAGCTCACAGATAGTGCAGACCTGAGTTTGAGTCCTGCTTGTGTTTTCTTGCTGGGTAATATTAGACAAGTTTGCATCTCCATCAGTAAAATGAGGGTTAGACTGTAAGGTAAACCACATAACAAGTGCTTAGCAGAGGACCTGGCACACAGTAGTCTCTCAGTAAATGCCAAGTGTTTGTTATGATGGTTAGCATCATTACTGTCATAACCAATTACAGACTACCTTCAGTTATTAAGGAAATTGAAGTTTGCACAGAAGTAAAGATTCTTGGTCCCTTACAGAATGACCCCTATCCTTCTAGTTTTATTAGTGTTTCTAAGACTCACAGAAGGATCAAAGGAATCAAAACAAGAAAGAACAATTTTCCACATAAACATCAATGTGGCCAATTGGATTTTTATTGCTTGAAAGAGTTGGTACAGTTTTTTTTTTAATTGCCTTACTGATGAAGTGGTTGGGAGGTAGTCCCCGGAAGTATCTGTTATCTGGCAAATTGATAAATTTTAAACAGCATTGCCTGACATTGGAGCTGTGGGAAGCCACACATCAGCACATTGCAAAGGGCTAAACTGAGACCACTAAATTACTGTAGTTTAACTACTATTCAATTAATAAAACCTATTGAGTTTATTTCATTTATTATTGATTTGATATTTTTGGACATTTCGTACTTTTCAGCTGTAAATTATGAATGTTATGCCACTTCAGTGATTCAGATTTTTCTTCTTAATTATCTTATATCAGAGACATTTACACAGGGATACATGTAACTTAAGGTAACCTACTTAAAATTCTTCTTTTAAAAAATGAAATGTCAAGGAACTATAGCCATGGAAATGGCCTATTATGTGTTGATCATGGATATAACCTTTCCCCTCTCCCACATGTACTATTTTTAACTCCATGTGGGCATGCTTTCAAGGAAAATAGTACTTTGCTTGGCTCTTATTTTTCATTAAATTATAAAGCTTAGTCACAGAAGTCAGCAGTCTACTAGATGTGTCTTCTGTTATCTTATCAGTTTATACAGTCAAAGGTATTCAGCCTTGACATTCCAACTTACTGGAGTTGGAATCTGGAAGGAGTTTCTCTAGAAATCGTAACCCTCTGCTCTTCAAGGGACCAACTCCAAGCCATTGTTATGAGTCAGAATTGAATCCCAGCTATTGACTTAGACAAAGTACTTCACCTCCCTGTGAATCAGTCTCCTCTTTAGAGTGGGGTTACAGTGGCATCCACCTATAGATAGCTGTGAGGATGTAATGAGTAATCGCACACAGAAATTGCTCAATGCTGCTACTGTGTTCCGGAATCATGTTGGTCCCCGGAATATTTCAGATTTACAGCTAGCTATGTGTGCAGTTCATTGCAACAGAAATCATTTACAAAGATCTGAGCTATACTCATGTGTAGACATTAGATTAGTAATTCGATATTTTAGAGATTATCATCACTTTACATCTCAGGCATTTTCTTTTTCTTTTAAAACCACCAGGATCATCCAAGCTGGAGAAAGTGTGAAATTAAGTCTTACAGGAAAGAAAGCAGTTGCTAATCAGCTTTCTGGATCATTTTTCCCTCTTTAAACTTGGTATTTGATTTACTGTAATATTTGCATAATTGAAATGTGATAAGTATCCATTCATTACAGATATTCTAAATAGTACATGTAGTGTAAATCACCAATTTTGACATATTTAATAAATTTAGATTCTGGATCCGAACTGTTAGCTCTGTTCCCTAGATGGTTGTTAATAATTAATTGTTCATGGTTAAGACTTGTTAGTTAACCACACTACTAGATGTCAAGTTACTTTCAGTTTGCACTATATACAGATAGCTAGTTTCATATTTGTGTTGTAAGTTAAGTCCCAACTATTAAAAAACCGACTTGTATCTTGCCCTATTCTAGTAACTGAACTGAGATTAATGTATAAAATGCTGTTTGTACTGAAGTTCCATCTGTCTTGTGTCATCAGTATGTATGCAAAAGGACTAGAAGTTGTGACCTGAAAAAGAAATACAATAATAATTTTCTTCATATTGCATGTTGACCAGACCAGCAGTTTTACACGTCAGTGAAACCTCTGCTTCCTTTCTTAGCTGTTCCATAGAGCTCAGAGACCAGATGGCTGGAATAGAATGCATAGTTAAGCAAATAAAACCATTAGATGGTACAGCTTTGTGAATTGCTAAGCATTTTATGTGGTTGCAGATTCTTCCCCATAACCCTTGGTGGAGTTCAACTAAACTTGCTGTATTATGTGAATGTATTCATTGTTTGCATTTTAATAGATTTGTTTGTTTCACCTCATGCTAATGATTTTTGGTGCATTTTATTTTAACCCTTTGTAACCATGTTTCTGTAAGGCTGATTTGATTTCTTTCTTAATAGTCATGGTGTGCTACTTCAGTTAATTTTGAACTGAAGTAACATTGATCTTGGTGCACTTTATCATAAGGCAGCTCCTTTAGAAAGAATTGCCACCACAAGTGGTTTCATTTTAATCAGAAGCAGATGAGTTGAGCAATGCTCTCTTTCTTTGTTGCAGACATGCCAATATTTGGTCTCTGTCCGGCCCATGATGATTTCTACTTGGTGGTGTGTAACGACTGTAATCAGGTTGTCAAACCCCAGGCATTTCAATCACATTATGGTAAGTGCGTAACCATTTAAAAATTATTATTAGAGGGTAAAAGGTAAAGCAGGATTAAACTGAAGGCCACTGACAGCATGGATAGCATATCCTATCCTTCCCCTGTCAGGAAGTAGGCTTCCTAATTCATTGAATAGGTAATGCCTATCAGATGTTAGGCATTTTCTGAATTGTATTGAAAGTGCTGTGCATTTTCTGATTTTTATTGAAATTAGGTACAAATGTATTTATAAAATCTCTTGAGGTGCTGCATCAGTATAGTAAAAGGTGTGTTTCCTTCTAGAGCCTGTGCTTGTGGATTTGGTGATGGTAAAATTACTTATTCACGCATAGTGTGGCCTTTTTTAAGGAAATGTGATTTTGAAACTTCCAAGTTCAGTAGTTCTAAATCTGTCTTAAATGTCATGTTCTGATTTGTGAATATGGTAAAAATGTGGCATCTTCCCCCACTAAAATGTGCATGGACTTTAGAATGAGGGCATTGTCACTTTAGGGATCACACGTGACTTTATGAACCCCTGAGCTATCCCAGGCGTTCTAGGCACAAAGCATGTTATCTGTATGTTTAATCAAGGAAGAAACTGAATGAGATTGTTTTACATTTCACAGTGCCACCTAAAGTATTTACAATAAAAATCTGCTCACAAAACTTAGTTTTACACCCAGTTTGGTTCAGTAACAACTCAAAAGTATTTGAATGCCCCCCTTGTTTCTGACAGTGGGAATATGGTATGATTCTTACCTCCATGGAGTTTACAGTCTTAACTGGAGAGGAGAGACAGGCAAAACTAAGTAGACACATTTAAAAAAAACAACTGCAAGTCGTTTCCTCATTGTCCTCCCTACTACAAATTCAAGCCTGAGACCGAGAATAACGGTGGGGTCCTTCTCTAGAGAATGTTTCAGCAAAGCCTCTGAGGAGTGACCTGAGTCCTAAGGAATGAGAGTGAGCCACCCATGCATTGGTCTGGAATAGAGCATTTGATACAGAGGGAAGAGCAGGTGTACGGACCTGAGGAAGGCCAGTGTGCATGAAGGGTAGTTAGTGAAGGGAAGTAATGACTAGAGAGTCCTGGCCTTGTAGGCAGGGACCCTCATCATGCATCGCTTTGTAGGCAGCCTGGGGGCATGGGAGGGCTTATGTAAGGGGTGAAAGCAGGCATACCTTGCTTATTCTCAGGTTGATTTGCTGAGAACAGATTGTGGGAGAAGAGTAGAAGCAGGGAGAATAGTTCAGAGGCAAGAGATGATGATGGACTAAGGCTAAGATGGAACAGTAGAGCCGGGGAGATGGTGTAACTCAGAGAGGTCTTAGAGAAACTAAGGCTATTCTGAAGGGTAGAATGGGTTCTTTTTCCCATGTGCAAAATTTTGCCCACCATTTTTGTCTATCTAATACATGTCCATTGTGGGAAATAAAAAATACTTCCAAATAATCACCTACAATCCCCTGAAATGGGAAGTCTTTTGATGGGGATAGACAGGGCTGCTACGTACAGCTGCACAGTTTGTGCACAGAACAGCTGTATTTGGTGGCTCCAGGGTGGCAGCAGTGGTGATGTGAGCAAGCACAGAGGCAGGAAATTCCAGGCTGTCTGGAATGTACTGCATGGAGTCTCCACTGGCCAGAGCTTATGTACCCATGTGTGGATGCAAAGGTAGGCAGGGACTAGTCAGAGAGCCTCAGTGCCCATCATATACCCTTGGCCTTGATGTGTCACTGGGGACCTGTTACAGGTTTTTTAACACCAGTGATGTGACTTAGTGGTCCTCCTGAGGATCAATGGGTAGAGGGGATTGAAAGGGAGCAGAGGAAGAAACGGAAGTGTGGAACAGCTGTAGTTTGGGTCAAGGCGCACTTAAAGGTGTTAACCTCTTCCAGGACTTCTTCGTCTGAAAGGGGGTGTCTCTTGGTCCCTCTTCCAGAAGCACCACCCTCAGCTGTTTCAGCAGGTTTTATGGAGATGATTTTCTTTTTCTTCCTTTGACAGTCTCTTAGAAGTCAGGATATGTGAGGCAGGAGGATGGGGGACCAGTGTCTTAATATTCTGTTTCTACCCTGTTTCTCTACAAGTATCAACTGCAGTGTCTTCTAATAAGATCCTTATTGAATGACAAAGGAGTTGTGGTAACTTGTGTAAATGAGAAGGTATGAGTGTAAGATCCACACACTCAGATGCCTTCTGTGGCTAGGCAGGCGATGTGACTGATGAAGCCACTGGGTGGGCGGGTGGCTGGGGGGCTTTTGTTCCTCTAGCAGCAAGGGAATGTTAATGTTGTGAGAGAAAGGAGGAGTCCCTGACAGAAACATGAGGGCCAAGTGTTCTTAGAAAGGGATTTGGCTGGGAAATGTGGAAGGAGTTCCCTCTGCGAGGCTTCTGCCAAGGAGAAGGTGGATGGAATGGACAGGAGGCTTGGAGATGAATAGGGAGGTGGGGTTGGGGGCTACGCACAGAGCGGAAGGAGCGTCACATGGTGGTTGGAGTGGTTTGGCAGGGACACATCCTCACTTGGAGGAAAGGAGAGGTGGGCCCGGTCACAGGTACTAAAAACCATTCCCAGCCAGCTGGTATCTCTTGTCTTTGAAGACAGGGGTTGTATTTTTGTTTTAATTCCAAAATCCCATCTTGCATGTTTGTTTTCCTCGATCAACACCAACAAAATTTTTTTTAGTTCAAAATCTTTCCTAGTGGCTATTGTAGTCTGTTTATTACCATATTAGGAGAACCCATAACTGGCAAGGGAGGGATTCTATTTTCTTATCTTTTGATGAAGTTGGTGAAATGTGTGCAGTCTTCTCTGAAGTCATATGTCACTGATACTCATCTGTTACTTTTATGAACAAGTGAGCATTTGCTGCAGAACTCAGCAGGTAGGTAGTTCCTGTAAAATCACGCTGCCAGGAAGTTGAATGAAGCTCCAGTGGTAGGTAGCATGGCTTATGAGTCAGTTAATGGTAGTGATGTAATTCTGAATTGTTGGTCAGCTTATTATCTGAGTAGCAAGAGAATATAAACTTTATTGCTAGCAGAGCCGCCTTTTTGGGAGTTAACGATTAACTAGAATTTCTATTTGAGCGATGATGGTGAGTGATCATGCCATTTTGACTTTCCTCGCTTCTCGTAGTCTGACTGCTTTCATAGTATAGCTTGCTTTCTTGGAAACACATAGCAGTACCATGCTCTCTTGATGTTGTTTCAGATGTTTTGAAATAGTCCATCATACTTTATACTTCTCTTTATTCAGTTATTTTTAAGAGCAAGATGTGTCGTACTGCCCATTTCAGACTTAAAAATATAATTTGAGTCAGTGGATCTCAAATGTGCTGCACATGTAAATCAAAGGGGAGCTTTCTAAGTGGATAGCTTCCCAAGGCCTGCTCCAGGGCAGCTGGATGGGAGTCTGCAGGGATAGGACTGAGGGTTCTGCACCCTGGCAATCCTAACTGCTCCCCAGGTTGGTTCTGACCCGCCGGCAGGCCCGGTGCACTGGGGTAACAGTAGATATATCTGCCCGTTGGGGCTGTCGCTTGTATTCCAGATGCCTGGCGTGGTGGCTGAAGCAGATGGGCACTCAGAAACTGGTTGAGCCTAGCAAGAATGGTGTGAAAGGAGGCCCTTATTTTTTTAAAACTGATTTTTAACTTTTTGTATTAAGTGCTAGAAATGTCACATTAATTACCTGTAAAACTTTTAACTATGAAGGAGGGCTGAGATGGTCACGTTCCCTAGAGCCAAAATCACCTTTCTTTTGAAGTTGTTTACCAATGTTGTGATCTCAGTTGATGATTTAGTTGGTAATAAATATGTTGGTCCTAAAGTAGCTACTGAATAGCTACTGACGCTGGATTGACAGTGGATCCGAACAGGTCGGATTAGCTGATGACTTGTGGGATGCCTTTGCAGTTCTCTGTTGAAATTGCTTCCCAAGGAATGTCATAAATCTGGGTTTTCTTAACTTTGTGAAAGTAGCTTTAGCAGAAACACTGCTGAGATCTAATTGCTGTGTGCTTGCACTGTTCTGTGCTCTGCTGTTTCTCTTTTGAGTTTGCGTATGGAGAATACATCCATTCCTCTCAACCTGTCTTTTACACAGGCATGGGGTGGTCTTACCAAGGGGCAATAAATGAATGCTGTTAATTCAGCTCAGACAGTTGCCACATTTCGGATCTCTAGCATTCACTGAGACATTACCTGAATGCCAGCTGTTGAAGTATTTTGCTTCAGATTAGGTAGGCTGACACACTTTTTCTCCTTTTGGCTCACACTGAGTCCCTGAGCAAGGCCTCCGTGGTCGCATTCTGCACCTGTGCCACCTTTAACCAAGTTTAATTAATCGAGTTTCATCTTTATGATGAAGTTACTTAGTTCCATTTAATATTTTTTTTCAAACCATTTCTATTTAAATCTTTAACAAAGAAAACCTTACTGGAATAATCAGCGGGAAGACTAGTGTTGTTTGCTATAGGTGGTAAATGTGAAAATAAATACTGTGAAAAGATTAGATTCTCTGTTGATGCTCTTGCCAGTGCTGACTCTGAGCCCGGTCATCTAGCATAGTAGGTTTCAGACAAGTGTACGCACACTGGTAGTGTGATAATATCAGAAGTATTGAAAGAGATTTGGAAAGTAAGTTTTCACTTGCAATTTAATGTCATTAATGATGGGGAGTGATATGTACTTGTGTTTTGGGAAATGCCAGCTCCAGCCACTGGATTTGGTTTCATCTGATGTTTAAGGAGCTGTTTACTGAGGCCATCCCCACCCCTAGGAGATCCCATACCTAGGAAGCAGAATTGTCTTATCATGTTACAGATTTGCAAAAGGATAACAGAGGAAAATGCTCTGTCATTTAGCAATTGGTACTATTTATTAATTACATGTGGAGTCCAACCAGTCACTCTAAGTGGTCTGTCAGTTTGGTCTTCAGTGTAGAACATCTGCCTCTCTCTTTCAGACTTCTGTTGACAGATTGGGAATGTCATAAGTCTGGGTTTTCTT